CTTGGAGCGCAAGCTCAGGGCGCGTTCATTATCGACATCCCAAAGGATTGCCGATCAGTGTTGCCAGAACGGCCGGTTGGGGAATCGGACTGCACAGTCTATTATCCGGAAAAGATTGAGTCGGGATTCTGGAGAATTCGCAGCGAGAAAAGAAGGAGGCGGTTCCCCCATTTGGATGTCGACCCAAGCAAGGCCAATCCCAACATCGGTGCTGCCATCCAAGAGTTCCAGATGCGCCTTGAAAATGGCCTTAGGGGTGTCGCATACGAGACCGATATCCCAGCGCACACTCGCGAAGATCGCGCACGAGCTTCTCTGCCTGGAGAAAGCTCCCTTTGGCCCATCCCAGGTCAACTGCCTAAGGACGGTGGTATAGTCGGACTCCACACTCCAACTGGCTACATAGGGGCGCCCGGGGCACCGTTTTTGTGGCATTTCGAAGACCTTAGGCTGGGTGCCATGAATACCCAATACTGTGGGCATAAAGCGTGGTTTGTTACTCCGCCGAACTTTTTCGACCGGGCAACTGAGACATTTATCAAGATATTGGGGTTGAATCCGGACCACGACCAGTTCTTAAGGCACGAAGCACTGCATGGTGGTGTTGACTACCTCCGGGCTAAGGGCATTCCGACGACAGGTTTTTTACAAAGGCCTTGGCAGACGGTTGTCCTTTACCCAGGCGCCTATCACTCTGGATTCAGCGTGACGAACACTTTGGCCGAAGCTGTTAACTACGCTGGTCCAACATACACCTATCCGGAAGGCTATAGGCCTTGTAAGTATGAATGCGAAAAGCGTCCCCCCATTACATACGACTTGGTCTTTTCCCCTAATCGGGGAAATGAGGCTGCTCGTACTGGGGAGGAAGAGACTGCCCCTGGTGGTGGGGAGGAAAAGACTGCCCCACGGACCTTGCGCCAAAGACGGCCCATCACCTTACGCCCTGTACTTGCCGCGGCTTCCAGGCCCCCAAAAAGGAAACGACCCGCAGGCAGGCCAAGTTCCGCGAGTCGCACAGGCCAAAGAGACTCGAGATCACACGAACCAGAGGAGCAAGACGAGTTACAAGACGAACCGATAACGAAGCGGAACAAAATCAGTGTCGAGGTCCTGGCGGAGGAATTGCTTCGTCCCGAGGCAGAAGAGCGAATCAGGAGCCATGCACTGGCATTGGCCGAATACCGGACACTCGGGTTGCCAAAGCCTCGCGGGGATTCGGATTGGCTCAACTATGCAGACTACTGTTGCGAGTTTGGTGCACGTTGGGATCGGGGCATACCATTTTGCGCAATGATGGGTTTGACTATGAACACGCGCAGTCTCGAGACGATGTATCATAAAGCCTTCGGCCCCGATGAAATGTACACTGCCGCCGGGACGCTGAAGCAACTACCGACCGATATCAGCGACCAATTCAGAGCCAAGCGACGCGAGATGACGGACGACGCTTTCGCCACCTACTTGAAACGCCTACGGAAATATCTGAAAATCGACCTGGACTTCCTCCCTTTTATGCCTTATAATCGGGGGGGCAAGACCGCTCTATGGCATTACGAAAGATTATCCGACCTGCAAATAGAAGAACTACGCGCGCTCACTAACACTGACAGGGCGAAGGAACTCGCGGGAATTGGCAGAGCCTTTCGGGCCAAGATTCTTATGGGCGACGCTATATGGACAGGAGTTGAACTAGAGGATCTTAAAAGGATGCCTATCAAGCAGCTTTTAAGCTACCTGGACTGAGCCAAATGGGTCAAGAGCGGGCGAAAACGGGGAAGATAATGTGTACAATAAACATGTAAGATGCAAACGTAAAAGTATGTACATTTTCCGTCGTCCATTTGAGAAAATCCTTAACGAACGTTTGCTTAAGAGTGAGGCCGTAGTTTTTTCTCAGGTTTGTAGCAATCCACTACCGCGGCTTTTTCTGTTAAATGACAATGACAAAGCCGGCAAGCAGGGATGCAAGGGGCGTACGTAGGAAATATCCGAAACTGGTCCCCTTCCGCGAGTTTGTTGGCCACGAACGTACTGTAATTTCCATAGCCTCCTGTTGTCGGGGTCGGCGAGTCTCTTTTTAGGACGGTTTCGTCGGCTGCTAAGATCAAGGTCCTTTAATTACTTCCAAGCAGTCTCAAACGCAGCAACACAGGGCCGAAGCTGGCCCCGACGGCGCCCGAGCAACAGGAACGGGTCACCGCCGCCTTCACCCCGACAGCAGCCACTCCCGCCCTGGGTCCGGTAAGCCCAGCGCACCCCTAAGCACAGGCGCGGCCCCACGGCTATGCTCGCGGGGCAGCCCGCCGTATCCCGCACCCG